TAGCTAATCAGTATATATCATGGTAAGTCTTTAAAAACTATTCAAAAACCTTTAAATAAATGGAAATTTAAAATGTTTTCCTGTGCTCAGTGCTATAGCAAGCTCTATAATTGGGAACGTGGAACGCAAGCTCGATAATTGGGAATGACACTATGTTTACCGATTTCCCGTGTTTTTTCATAGTTGTTTTCTCACTTTTCTGGCATTTCTGCAAAATTTATTAATTAAATTATTGTGTTCCGTAACTTTCCATTGACCAGTCAGTAGCACACAGTGGATTTCAGAATCAGTGTTAAAAATGTCGCTTCCTGTTTCTGCATGTTTTGAGTCTTTTGACGAGAGGATACATTAGTAAAAAAAAATTAAGATGACTATCGGTTTTGCCGATTAATCGGCCGATGGTGGCTGTTAACTAAATATTGGCTGTTAACAATTGGTATCGGTAATCAGCTTTTTTTAGACATCGGCTCACCTCTATTATTAATTTCTTTTGAAATCGATTGTTTTTATGGTCTGTGAGTACGGATATATGAATAAGAGCCCCCCTCCCCCAATTATCGAGCTTGCTACGGCACTGGTGCATGCATGTTCCAATGGAAGCCTGCAACCTAAGCACATGATAAAGCGCTCTGAAATTGTGCTGAAATTTGTCATGCTTTTGTTGTGCTGATTTTGTCATACTAAGATTTTGTTGTACTGAGATTGTTGATTTGTCAAAATATCTGTCCCAATTCCTAAATAAATTACAAAAGTTTATGCAAATTTTAGGATTTTGAGCAAAATTTATGGAATATCAACAGAATTTACTGCAGACAAACACGCCAACAGCATGTTTATAAAGAAAATAAAAATATTGAAAGTGACTAGACAGCTGGCATATATTAAGACAACTGCCGGCTATATACAATAAAGGTGCTGTATGCGGAAAGCAGACATTCCAACTCTCCCGATTTTACTGGGAGTCTCCCGAAAATTCATGCAATCTCCCGGTATCCCGATTTTTATCAAATTCTCCCGATTTTTCAGAATATTCAGGAAATATCATAAAAAATTATAAAATATACTGTTTTTAGCAACATAATAGTCTGTCTCGGACCTTTTTTGAAGTTACTTTATGGCAATTTATAGGATCATTTAGTCCCAAAATGCAGGAAACGCCATTTCAGAAGACTTAATTTCTATTATTTTTTCCCAGAAGAACCAGATTTCAATTCACTGAACAGTCTCCCTAAATTTTACCTCCAGTAGTTGGAATGTCTGGGAAAGTGACACACAGTCCGATCTTATGAAAATTCAACCTTAAAGTGGAAGTCAAGTAAAGAAACGGTTTGTTTACATTTTGAACTGCTGTATTTTTCAGAGACAGATTGGTGTGGTGGCAACTCCCGGAAAGGCCAAGGAAAAAGTAGGGATGAGCCGATTAATCGGTAAATAATCGGCAAAGCCGATTAATCGGCCATTTTTTAAATAATCGGTAATCGGCCGATTATTGCCTGATAATCGGCAAATAATCGGCCATACAGTAAGACTTTTTCTGCAGCTGCCAAGCACATGCTAAATACAAGCGAATAGATTTTCACATTTTGTTGCAAAACCGGCGTCTTTTGTCTCAAAACCTGTGTCTTTTGTCTCAAACGAGTGGCTTTGAGGAAGTCATTAAAACAGTTAGAACACCAACGCATTCCTATGCATTGAGTCATACCATATTCTGTTTTCTGATTGGCTTAAACGAATCCTGATATTTCTAATAAAATGCATATATTCGGAGCGCATGTTCAGTGAAGCTGGGAACATTTCCACTGAAAAACGCAGCAGACTAGCTCCACAACGCTGACAATATCCTGTTTTTCACCATAATCCGCCAAAACTAACTTTGACTATTGACATGCGAGATTGAAGCTGATTTTAATTGTACATAGTGTGTATTGTAAACAGTAAAACCGCATTCACAACTTCATTGTTAGCTATCTTGTGATTTTTCTCTTGCTTTTTAAAATAATCGGCAGGTACCGATTAATTGGCCGATTAGTTACGATAATCGGCTTATAAATAATCGGCCTCAGTAATCGGCAATTTTCCTTATCGGCTCATCCCTAGGAAAAAGGTTAACAAAATTTGTTTTCTAGGCCTGCATGGCGAGATCTGAGATCATAATATTGGTAATTTTACAAATTTAGTAGTAAGAATAATCAAATATGAAACTATCAAATCAAAATATATGTAATTTGCGGGGGTGCCAAATGC